AGGTCCAAGAGGTCCCGGTCCCGGCCCAGCCTGTCCAAGAGGCTCCGGTCCAGCCCATCCATCTGGACCCGAAGTCGATGGTGGTCAACGGCTCTTCCTGTTCCGAAGTCGACGCCCCTTCCTGTTCCGAAGTCGACGCCCCTTCCTGTTCCGAAGTCGTCGCATCTGATGACGACATGTCCAAAGTCGTCGCCTCTGATGACGACATGTCCAAAGTCATCGCCTCTGATGACGTCCCCTCTGACGACGTCGCCGCCGCCTCTGATGACGACATGTCCAAAGTCGTCGCCTCTGATGACGTCCCCTCTGACGACGTCGCCGCCGCCTCTGATGACGTCCCCTCTGGCGACGTCGCCGCCGCCCCTGATGACGTCGCCTCCCCTGATGACGTCGCCTCCCCTGATGACGTCGCCTCCCCTGATGACGTCGCCTCCCCTGATGACGTCGCCTCCCCTGATGACGTCGCCTCCCCTGATGTCGGCTCTCCTGATGTCGGCTCTCCTGATGTCGGCTCTCCTGATGTCGGCTCTCCTGATGTCGGCTCTCCTGACGTCGGCTCTCCTGACGTCGGCTCTCCTGACGTCGGCTCTCCTGATGTCGGCTCTCCTGACGACGTCGCCTCCCCTGATGTCGGCTCGCCTGATGTCGTCGCCTCCCCTGATGTCGGCTCGCCTGACGACGTCGCCTCCCCTGATGTCGGCTCGTCTGACGACGTCGCCTCTGGTCTGATGTCTCTTCTGTCTCTAGTTCCAGTGGTGATTCTGAAGGTCGCACCGGTCCAGCCTGTCCACGAGCCCCCCGTCCAGCCTGTCCACGAGCCCCCCGTCCAGCCTGTCCACGAGCCCCCCGTCCAGCCTGTCCACGAGCCCCCCGTCCAGCCTGTCCACGAGCCCCCCGTCCAGCCTGTCCACGAGCCCCCCGTCCAGCCTGTCCACGAGCCCCCGGTCCAGACGTCAATGCCTCCAGGCCGGAGGTTGACGCCTCCCGTCTCGGGCCCCTGCTCTGAAGTGGACGTCTCGGGGCCCTGCTCTGAAGTGGACGTCTCGAGCCCCTGCTCTGAAGTGGACGTCTCGAGCCCCTGCTCTGAAGTGGACGTCTCGAGCCCCTGCTCTGAAGTGGACGTCTCGAGCCCCTGCTCTGAAGTGGACGTCTCGAGCCCCTGCTCTGAAGTCGGCGTCTCGAGCCCCTGCTCTGAAGTGGGCGTCTCGAGCCCCTGCTCTGAAGTGGACGTCTCGAGCCCCTGCTCTGAAGTGGACGTCTCCATGTCCCCGTCTCAAGTCTCCCAAGTCTCAAGTGTCCCACTCTCCCCAAGTCTCAAGTGTCCCACTCTCCCCAAGTCTCAAGTGTCCCACTCTCCCCAAGTCTCAAGTGTCCCACTCTCCCCTGTCACAAGTCTTCCAGTCTCCCCAGTCTCAAGTGTCCCACTCTCCCCTGTCACAAGTCTTCCAGTCTCCCAACTCTCAGGTCTCCTAGTTCCAGTCTCCCAGATGCAAGTGTTCCAGTCACAATCCCCGTCTCCAGAGATCCTTCGCCGGCCCCCTAGACTTCTCAGGTCCCGCCTCCTGGTTCCCCGTCGCCGGCCCCCACGACTCCTCTGGTCCCGTCTCCTGGTTCCCCGTCGCCGACCCCCTAGACTTCTCCGGTCCCATCTCCTGGTTCCCCGTTGCCGGCCCCCCAGAGTCCCCTGGTCCCTGGACCCTCCTCGCCCACCCTTGTGGGTTGTTTTTTGGTCCGGGCCCTCCTCTCCCGCCCTGTGGTCTCTCGTGTCCTGTTTTGTCTTTGTCTTTTGTTTCTGTTTTTGTCTTGTTCTGGTTTTGTGCGTCTGGTATCCGCCCTTGAGGGGGGGGTACTGTCATGTTCTGTGTCCCTTTGTTCCCCAGCCCTCCAGTTCCCACTTCAGGTTCTCCTTTTGTGTTTCATGGCGCCCTCATGTGTCCTTTGTCTGCGTCTTTCCCCATGTGTCTCCTAATGTTTCTCCATCCCTCTCTGGATTCCCTTTTGTGTTCTCTTAGCGCCCTCATGTGTCCTTTGTCTGCATCTCTGTTGTGTGTCTTAAGTTATAGCCACAGCCTCTTGTTCCCCAGTTCATAGTTTGTGTGTCTCAGTATGTGTATGTGTTTGTGTGAGTTCTTCCCTTAGTCTTTAGGTTTAGTTTTGTGTTTTACATAGTGTTAGGTTTATCTGCCCTCCACTGGTTCTCTTCCCCATCCAGATAATTGTTGTCACCTGCCTTCCCTCCAGCCTCACTCCACGCACCTGCTTCCTGTTTCCCTAATTGCTCCTCCCTGTCTATATAAGCCCTCCTTGTCTCTGTGTTCTGGTCGGTCCATTAATGTTTGCTTGTTGTTCTTGTCAGCCTCGTCTCGTTCCTGTTCCTAGCTTCTAGTGTTTCCAGTGTTTTCCAGTGTTTCTAGTTCTCTGAAGTTTTTGATTACTCAGTTTAGATTTTTGGATTTTTTGGTTTGGGCTCCCTGCTTCTTGGACTACTCCTAATAAAGGATTTTATTTTCATCATCCACCTCCTGCCTCGTTCATCTGGTTTTCTGCATTTTTGGGTCCTAAAACATCCTGCCACATCAAATCCTGACAGGCAGTGGCTCTTGGGGACCACTGATCCCTTTTTGATCTGGACCGACCACCAGAATCTCATTCATCTACAGACTGCCCGCCAACTCAACCCTCGTCAAGCTCGGTGGTCCCTCTTTTTCGAGCCGTACAACTTTCATATCGCCTACTGGCCCGGCTCCAAGAACCTCAAGGCGGACGCTCTCTCTCGGCGTTTTGCACCAGAGTCAAGCCCCCCGGAGCCTCTGACCATTCTGCCGACTCAACGCTTCCTGGCCTCCCTCCAATGGCCGTTGGAGCAGTCCACATGGGCCACACTTCCTGGCGATCCGGCGCCTCCGGAGACTCCACCGAACCGTCTCTACGTTTCAGTCTCCTGCCTACAAGAGGCACTCACGTGGGGGCATTGTTCACGGCTCGCGGGACATCAAGGACAAGCCCGTACCCTCCAGTTCCTCCGTCGGGCTCTCTGGTGGCCGTCCATGAGGAAGGACGTCCGCGAGTTCACTGCTGCATGTGATGAGTGTGCTCGCTCCAAGTCCTCCAACTGACCCGGCGCTGGAGAGTTGCAGCCTCTCCCTGTGCCCAAGCGGCCGTGGTCACACATCGGGCTGGATTTTGTCACGGGACTGCCGGTTGTCGACCACCTGGACACCATATTGACTATCACGGACCGTTTCTCCAAGGCCGTGCACTTAGTGGCCCTGGCCGGCCTCCCCACTGCCAAGAGAATGGCCGAACTGCTCCTAGAACAGGTGGTGCGGCTCCATGGTTTCCCTCAGGACATGGTTTCCGACCGAGGACCCCAGTTCGTCTCACACTTCTGGAAAGCGTTCTGTCACCTGGTCGGTGCTTCCACCAGCCTGTCCTCTGGCTACCATCTGCAGACGAATGGTCCGACGGAGAGAGCTAACCAGCAGCTTGGACGCTACTTGCGCTGCTTCGCTTCGTCCCAGCCGACCACCTGGCCCCGCTTCCTCCTGTGGGAAGAACTGTCCCACAACCTCCAGACCTCCTCTGCCACGAGTATGTCTCCCTTAGAGACCTGTTATGGGTACCAGCCCCCTCTGTTCGACCATCGGGTGCCTGAGGTGGAGGTCAATGCTGCCCAAACGCTGGTCCGCCGCTGTCGGCTCGCCTGGATCCGGGCCCGTGCAGCCATCACCCGGACCAACACGGAGTATGCCCGTCAACATCGCCACCACCACTGGCCTGGCCCCGTCTTCCCGTCTGGCGACCAGGTGTGGCTCTCCTCTGCTAATCTGAGGATGCCGACTGGCTCCAGGAAGCTCACTCCTCCTGGGTCCGTTCCCTGTCCTCAGGGTCATCAACCCGGTCACTTACCGTCTGCGCCTCCCGGCTGCTCTCCGGATCCACCCGGTCTTTCACGTCTCCCAGCTGAAGCCGGTGGTCTCCTCTCCTCTCCACCCTCCGACGACCCGGGTGCCTCCGCCCCGCTGTGTGGAGGAGGATCACATCTACACGGTCCGCAGGGTTCTGGACGCTCGCCGCCGGGGACGTGGTTGGCAGTACCTGGTGGACTGGGAGGGGTATGGCCTGGAGGAGCACTCTTAGGAGCCCACGAGCTTGTTTGTCGATCCTACCCTGCTTTCTGACTGCTGGGCCCGGCGTCCTGGGACTTCGGGAGCCGTCCCTCGGGGGGGGGGGGGGGGGGGGGGGGGGGGGGTCTTGTCACGAACACCTCCAGCTGACTCCATTTCCCAGCATTCTTGCCACCACTTACCAACATTCCCGCCACCAACGTGGCCGCCTACGTCATCACGCCGACACTATAAAAGGAAGTGCCGGCTTTCATTCATTACTCTATCGTTCTCACCAGACTTTGTATCGAGTTCCCAGGCTTACCAGCCCTCAAACCTTCAAACCTGACCTAAAGGATATAACCACAATGGTTATCTCCATCACTCCGCATCTGGGCAACAGACCTTCTCAGCCACGCTTCAGCTCTGCCACCGAACCTGACACTATGGGAGCCTGTGAGGACAAAACGCATTTACTGATTTGTAACAAACGGATACAAACCTTTTGCCATTCATAAAGGTTATTGTTTTACACATTTACATCTTCACTTGTTGCCAGTGATGAAAGGAAAACTGATGTGCTTATCGTTTTGCTGGAGGTTGTGCTTCCAGGAACTTTTGACCCTAATGGCCATCCGTTGGTGAGGTCTTACTCGAATACAAAAATACTGCTTGCTTGCAATGATTTAGATATGTACTGCCCCGTGTCGCCAGGGAAAATACACACTGTCACTTTAATAAATCGACAAATTATTATAATTAATGAGTGTGCAGGTCGACATTCAGCAAATGGATCAGAATGGGTTCTGTTTGGCATTTTATGTGAACTACTTACTCATTTAGCATTTTCTGCACAGTTAGACTCGATACTGATGAAAAATAACTCAAGTCCAATAAGCTAAATAAATGATTTATTGTACAAAAGAAAAATTACAGTAAATAAACAACAAAAGGCAAAAATAATAGTACAGTTATGCACAACTATTGAACTACAAAGTTGGGGTGATATTTTTGATACTACACAAAGAACAGAGGGATGAAGAGGGGAAAGAGAGAAACACGTTAGAAGCGGTGAACCTGTCCAAAACATCAAAAAGGTTTTACATCTGGGTATGTTCTTACATAGATATTTGTTACTCTCATATATTTATATGAAACCAATGGAAAACTTTTAGACACACCAGTTTAAACACACAGAAACACAACTTCTCAGCTTTGACCGCAGTCAAGTCACAGATGTGGGTACACCTAACTATTTCTCCTGACCACATGTGACCTGGGTCGCTAATGTCAGTCACTCTGAACCTGAACCTGAGAGCGAGGGGACCCTGTGCTTTATATTTTTGGAGGGGATGGAGGTGGCTTTGATGAGTTAAACCTTTACAATGATTAACAAATTAGTTTTAAAAATTGTAGGGCTTTTTTAGGAGGCTAAAGTGAGGTAGACAGACTTTTAAATGCATTGTAAGTAATAATAAATAACAACTGATCAGTTCAATAGTTTTCCAACCACAGCCCCTAAACCAGCCTTTTTCCCTCCCTTTGAAAAGATCTAGCATATTCCTGCAATTGCAAAGGTTACAGCACACGTCATCATCTGCTTTGGCTAACAATCCCTGGATACTCCTCTCATTTGTACATGGCTGCTCTCGCTTAAACACACTCAAGGCAAAGACACATGTCCATGCAAGACAGATGGCACGTTAAGTTAAAAGGAAGCAAACTTTAAAAAACAAAAATCATTGACTGGGAACAGATTAAAGTTGATGAGTGGGTCATTAACAGTTAAAGCATCTTACTTTTCTCTGATCTGGGCACATATCACACACACACACACACACACACACACACACACACACACACATACACACACACACACACACACACACACACACACACACACACACACACGCACGCACGCACGCACGCACGCGCGCACACACACACATGCACACACACACACACACGGCTTATTGGAGGCCTTTCAGGCTGCTGCTACAGTACATCCAGGTTCCAAGAGTTTTGGGTGTGTGGACAGGCCCCCGCTTCAGACAAAGTCAGAAAAGTGTGATCGTACCAAAAAAGAAGTGGAAACTCCCCCTAAGTTTATATCTTATCACCAGAAACTTGAATAATTTTTTTATCCTATACTGTACAAGCTCTCATGTGCTTGGTAAAACGCATACAACAACACCTCACGCCATGAACGTCCCATAGTGCAAAATTTATTGTTGGTAAGGTAGAGTGCCCCCCAAAAAAAGGTTTTTGTACCCCTTTTTTTAAAATATATACATATATCATTTATATATAATGTCAGAGGCTCTCACTTTATCCAACAGAATAGTGCTTTCGTTTATAACAAAAGGATATCTTTGCTTCGACATCCAGGAGACAAAGACAAGCTTCGAGCAAACTAATCTACTCAGAGTTTAAGCACTAACATTGTTTTCTTCGTTATGATCATCGGGTTGAGGGTGAATGGGGGCATTTCAAACTGCAATCAAACACACTGTCTGAACTTGAGTCAGCCTGATTTTATTTTGTTTTGTTTTATTTGCACCCTATGCGTTTCGCTGTGAGTTACAAAAGTTAATTCTTAGCACAGTTCTGCTGTTAGAGGACTTTATAATTTTGTCTTGTTTTCTGAAACTATCAATGAAACGGCCTGCTTGTTCTGTGTTTGAAGGGATACTTTGGTCAATTTGATTTATGTTTCTGTACAAAAGGTCTTGAAATAAATAATGTGAATAGCTTCCAAAACATCATTTGTTTAGCAAAATGTCTTTTACATCTTAAAGGACCAATGAGCTACCAGCTAGCTGACACTCATTCAAGATTCATAGGTTACTGCAGTCGTAAAAAAACGCTCAAATCTTCTACATTTCATAGCAGTTCATGAGAAAAGTAATCTATTAACTTTTTCACTGCTGTGTAACACATTAAATGGTTATTTGAATAGAATTATATTATTCAGCAGCACACACATTACCACCATCAGCAAAATGCTGCACATTAATGGGTCAAGTCCAAAAATAATTTAATTCAAAGACCAAGTTCACTTGTTTTTTAGTAGATTAGCAGTGATCTGTATTATAGATGAATGCCTTGTGAGTCAATCTCTGTGGGGCAAAAATTCTGGTGCTCCTGTTTCAGGAACTAGTAGAGAACCAGAAGAGTGGGGAACAGAAGACGGCAGGATTTGTAGTCTTCCTATAATTGAGACATCTCGCCAATGACTGGCTGTCAACGCGACTCTACCACTGACTCTGTTCTCTTTGGAGATATTTTGTGTCCACAAATGGCACAAGCCTGGAGGAGTTCTGCCATGTGGTGGGGTTGCTAAAACGGTTAGCTTCTACTAGCCGAGACGCGTTCGGCTGATTCCTGGACGCTAAATGAACAACAGCCTTCCCCGTTGTGAGTCAAGATAGATGAGTCCATGAATGTTAGTTTTCAGCGTGACCTAGATCTGGCAGGCTTTTCTAATTCGAGCGTTTCCTCGTCTATTTTTTATCGGCGGCTAATGCAGAAAAAAGGGGTAGAAGACTATTTTCACATTCAGTCTGCATGTTAAACTCCCAGTGACCTATGACATTTCAAAAATCATAAGTAAAAAAATGGTTTCTACGTGAACTTGGTCTTTAAAGGAAATTGCAGTGAAATCTTGGCAGGTTTTGGGTGTGGGTCAGTACTGTTCAAATGGACCTTGATCCAAAGCTTCTTCAGTCTGAACATTATGATATAAACCTTTATAATTGTCAGCTTCACATTACAGAGTAATTTTAAACCTGGTTCACAAGGCAGGACATTCATGGAAATATTTAATTAGCTCCACCCCTTCCCACAGTTTTAGGGTTGCTCACAATTACCACGATGCTCTAAAGATAATCTTATTATATGTCCCTACCATGTGTGGTGTGTTGTGGGCACACTGGTCTGCTGGAAAGATGTTAGGACCTCTCATATAATAAATCCAGGCTTTCAAACATTTTCAATTGTCTTGGCCAGATTTTGATGACAAACAAGCGTGCTGCCTGTCAAATATGACATGTTGCCAATCAAAAAGCACGGTAATTGAAGCATGCAGCATGCTCCTCCTCCCTTCATGTTTGATTTCTCCAAAGTCATGTTTTGTTCTGCAAGATTTCCCATCTGACCAGGGAATGTTTGCGTGTGAATTTAGTTTGTGTGTAATGTGTAGTTTTTGCCATGTTGCTGCACATGACGCACTGTTTTTATCACCACGTGTGTGGTCTCTTATGCTTTGAATATTGGCAGTTTTTAAATTTCTTGTAGTGTGAACTGAGCCTTTGGAACAAAAATAAGAAATTATTGCTAGACTTGATTGTATATATATTGTAAATGAATACATTTTGTTGCTTAAATAACCACAAAAATCCATGTAAATAGGCAGAAACGTTAAACTGACAGCTGGGTAAAGGTTTATAAAATAATGTTACACAGCAGTAGCTCAGGAGGCAGAGCGGGTTGTCCAGTAATTGGAAGGTTGCAGGTTCGATCCTGGCTCAGGACAGAGAATTCTGCTGTTGTGTTCTTGGGCAAGACACTTAACCCACCATGCCTGCTGGTGGCGGTCAGAGGGACCGGTGGCGCCTCTGTCAGTGTGCCCCAGGGCAGCTGTGCCTACATCGTAGCTCATTCCCACCAGCGTGTGAATGTGTGTGTGAATGGGTAAATGACTGATGTGACCCTAAGAAGGTGCTATACAGATACAGGCCATAACACTCTTTTAAATGCTAAAGGTAATATGTTTTAAAACGGCAACACTGCAGTGCGGTCTCAGTTGTGCTTGGACAAGCCATTAGCTCATCAATCCTGTTGGATGTAAACAATATGTTTGAATGGATGTGATTCAGGAAGGTTTTAACAGCAGGTAAAATAAAACTTTTATGAAGGAAAACACTTCAAAATGGCCCAAAATCCCCTTTACGTGTATGTCTTTGCAGATGTACATTTTAATTGGATCTGGTGCTACTTTGAACTTGCTGGGATGTAATGACACCCCTCGTGCATCTGCTGCTACATGTTTATTCTAAAGTCCCCTTTGAGTGATGAAACCGTGCATTCACATTCTATATGCTTACCATAAATGGTAATATTTCTTCTTTTTTAAATTTATATTGTTTGCAGATGGAAATCTGGTCCTTGTCATCCTGTAGGACAGGCTCTTTTTCTCCTCTCCAAGAAACTACAGGATGACTCTGCATCTGTGTTCATGTGTTAATTGAGACCATTTTTTTGCAGGATAAACTAAAACTGAATGATCTACTTTTGCAGTGCAGAAACAGTTTTACTAATTTTGACTTGCTTAGAAACAGAACAATAAACCAGCATAACCTTTTCACTATTTAAAAGGGAACATGCTTTTATAAGACTGAAAATAAAAGCTGAAAGAGTTTTCAAAGATCCTCAAGGGTGTTTATGTATTAGAAGAGTGTTTACAGCAGGTTTTGTTTTGGATCGCCTCAACATCTGTAAACAAAATTTTGGATTTATTCTATTAGTATCTCAACAAATACAACTTCTACTCATAAAACTGTTTCTAGTGTTCTGAATTGTGGCTGTTAAAGTGACAGATTGCAGAGTAATTTTGATCATGCCCCCCTTGCAAACACATAGATGGAAACTCCATTACTATGAGTAAGTGTATTTGTAAAAATTAAGTGTTTTCAAACTGACCTTAAAAGCTGACATTGCTTCATGAAATAAACTTAAGTCTCCTGTCACCACATTCCACTAAGTTCACAAAGATGCCATAACAATTTCACAAAACTAACACAAACTCTATGACATAGTTTTGTCTCATTTTCTGAAACTTCTCCACAAGTACATCCTTTCCAAATAATTTGTAATATACTGTATTTCCATCATTCGGTCCTTTTTTGATTCTTATTTCATTTATAATTTTTTTATACAGTCAGAATCAATTTAATTACTGGAAAAAATGGAAAAACAGTGGGATGGGGGTTGTTTTAATAGCAGAGCAAAAGTGTGATCTGATGCTGAAGAAGGGAGATCTCTGTGGTTTGATGAGGGGCTGTAATTGTTAAACATGCATGTGTCTCCTTCCATGACCTAAGAGCAGCCACATCGATCCACCACCATGCCTGGGATCTTGCCGTGTATTATCTGCTGTTTGTCATTGAAGTAAAGCATGTTAATGGGGGACATCTTGGTTGGGGTGCAGCAGGGCCCTGCAGAGCCACGGGGGTTGGCGTGCTGCACCAGGTGGGTGTGCGGATACTTCTGCATGAACATGTACTCGCACTGCCCAGAACAGTAGTTGGCTTTGTAACGTTTGGGGGCAATGATCCAGTCCCAGCCGAAGGCCTCGAAGTCCACCGTCAGAGGGTAGCGACAGCAGCGGGACTCAGTGGAATGCTCGTCGCAGTCCAGCCCGAGGTTTCTCCGAGAACGTTTTGTCGTCTCAAGAACTTTCACTTCCAGGAACGGCTGCTGGAATCAGGGGAGGGAGGTACAGGAGACAGAAATAGGTGGTTATAAGAGAACAACACTGACTGTATACATACAACAACCTAAAAAATGATGATGTCCAAGTAAACACAACAATGTAAGTGGTACTTCACTGCAAACCACTGCAATCTGCAGGTAATCATAACATGAAATGTATGTGAATGGGTGGTTTAAAGATCTTAATCTTCTCACTTCCTGCTGCAAATTCTCCTGGGAAAATAAATCCAAAGACAAATGCTTATCAAATTTAAGAGCACTATAATTTCTAAAGAAATAATGTTGGTATAAAAATGACGTTCAAAGAAAATCTTTTCCCTTTCTCACCACATCAAACCAGTCCAATTAATGAGTTAAAATGCACAATGAAAGTCAAAGAAACCTAGAAGTTGTTCACTTTGATGCAGCCATGTTGGCTTCCTTCAATGCACACGATTCTTAACCTGAAGTTCAAACTTTGTACTGAACAGATAATTTTCTCTCGAGTAAAAGTCAGTTAAAGGGACATGTTGGTCATGTTGAAGTGTATTTCTGTGTAAAAGTTATAAATAATATTATAAGATTATATCCTAAAGGACTGACGAGCTAACGAGCTGCTGATGCCCCCGAGTGTGACCGCCTCTACAAAAGTCGTGGCTGGTCTGGAGCATATAGGTGCGTGCTAACACAATGCCATGAAAGAAAGATATCATTAATGACCATTCTAACTCAATCGGACATAACAACATCAACGACTCATTTGGGGATAGTGAGGAGGGATATTCGTTAGTTGTTTCTGCTCGTTAAGCAACAACAGACAGCTACAGTTAATAAGCCTGACCCTCCCATATTCTAGTCAGAATTGACAAAGCACTACGGATGAGAAGCGAAACATTTGCCTTCATCTGAAACCTTTGGATGACCACAGAGAAACAATTGCCAATCAAAGTGAAAATAGTTAAAGGTAACTTCCAAATACTTTGGAGTCCATCATTTTACAAGAGTGGTCATTCTCAAGACAAGTGCCAGGAGTAGACATGGGGAGAAAAAAAACCCAACCCTTCAAATCCATTTCACATGACAGGATTTCACATTTGTTAGACATTTTCAAAACATGAGATCCCACATGGTAGTTAAAAATCATGGATAAAACAGTTCTGGCCCTAGTGTGTGGTGTGTGGGTACATATTAAAATCAACACCACACACACAAACAGTTTTAACACATGAACTTTTCCCGGTCAGACGGGAAATCTCTCAAAACAAACTTGACTTTGAAGCAGAGGAAGACTGGTCATCTGTGTGTTGTGGAGAATCACAGAATGGCCGGTCTGTTTCTGGCCTGTGGCCACAATATTCAGCCCTACACACTCCGTAACGCACACAGATTCAGCGCTCTTCCATCACCTGACTTTCTGATTGGCTACACGTCACATTCAACAGGTAGCGCGATCATTTGTCATCAAAACCTAACCCAAACCATCCAACATGTTTAATATTTTTGAAATGCGATTGGAGTGGTCCTGACATTCTTATAACCAGAGATCTCTTAACACACCACACATGGTGGGAATATCTGATAAAATTATCTTAAGGGCCATTACGGTAATCAGGTGCATCCAAGACCGTTGGAAAAGGAGAATTGGGTCAAAAATCAACATTATTATTATTATTATTATTATTATTATTATTATTATTATTATTATTGTTGTTGTTGTTGTTGTTGTTGTTGTTGTTGTTCTTTTTTTTTTGTCTTGTGATCCAAGCCAAAGTCAAGACAATGACTACATCTCAGACTCTACTATCCAAAGTTTTACCGAGTAGAGGATGAAGACAAAACTGTAACAGAATGGCTTTTATTTAGCACCCTCTATCTAAAGCAATGCAGCAGCATTACTGAGCTAATAATAACCTTAATGGACCCTTGGACAGATGAAATCAGTGTAGAGATGTTTACCCACAATGCCCAAAAAACCAAATACGTCATATCAGACTAAACTAGCCTGGCCTCTGTTTAATTCTGCACAGTGAAAGGGTCTGGGAACTCTCCTCTTCATATAACCCCACCCCGTGGGAATTCTAACCGAGCCATTCAGCTGAGTAGATTATGTCACACACCATAGCGCAGAGATTGTTATAAACATGGTGACTGAAGCGAAGTTCGCTGCGGCTCTTTCCTCTGTTCTAAATGACTTTAATGACATCTTTAAAACCACAACAAGTAGAAGCATTAAAAGCATTTCTTCTAAATAAAAGATGTTTGCGCAGTTGCCAGACGACATTTTTGACCGCAGCTAAAAAAAACTACTGCGTCGCGTGGTACAGTCGGCATTTCTTTCTTTTTTCTGATTGGTTATTTTTGAGCTGCCTAGTCCCGCCCCTCAAGTTCCTCTCTGGCTGTGAGTTCCCAGACTCTTTCCTTGTGCAGAATTAAACAGAGGACGAGTCTGGCAGGCCAGGCTAAGAATAAACATTTTCACCACTTCCCAGCATGGTGGTGGAGTGCAATGGTTTGGGCTTGTCTGGCAGCCACATACCCAGGACACCTCTCCAGTTAACAGACCAAAGTACTCCAGAGTCAAATGTTAATCCCAAAACACAGCAGCCAATCTAAAATAAAGACTAACATTAAGATGGTGCAATAGCCTATTCACACATCATCCATTTTCTGAACCCACTTTGTCCATGCATGGTTGCGCAGTCAACGGACAATCAGGCGGGGTACACCCTGGACAGAGAGCCAGTCCATTGCAGGGCAACACAGAGACACACAGGACAAACAATCATGCACACACACACTCACACCTAAGGACAATTTAGACAGACCAATTAACCTAACAGTCATGTTTTTGGACTGTGGGAGGAAGCCGGAGTACCCGGAGAGAACCCACGCATGCACAGGGAGATCATGCAAACTCCATGCAGAAAGATCCCAGGCCGGGAAGCGAACCCAGGACCTTCTAGCTACAAGGCAACAGCTCTAACCACTGCGCCACTACGCAGCATTCACACATACATCCACACAATTTGTGACAAGCTAGATTATTGTATCCACAGCTGCCCCAGGCGTGCTCGGTGAGGCCGCACAGCACAGGCGCCACCAGTTCCTTCAAGCACCACCAGCAGGCAAGGCGGGCTAAGTGTCTTGCTCAAAAACACAACGGTCAACACTAACTGAGCTGGAATTTGAACCAGTAGCCCTCCAGTTACAGGGCAAATTCACAACCCTGTAAAAGTCACCATGAAGGTGGAACATTAAGATAGCTGTGCAGAAGCCTCAATGAATTTAACAAATGTTGAGAAGAAGAGTGGGCCAGTAAGTTTCCACAGCAAAGTGAGAAACTAACGAAGTCCTACAGATGATACTTGATGTTAGTGCTGCCAAAGGAGCTAGTGGGTCACAGTGTGGACACAGAGCTTTCCATTTTGACCTCACTTTGGTTTAATAACAAAAACATGTTGGAATCCCTTCCTACGTGACAAAGAAACAGACTTTACCCTGATCAAAATTCAACAAGCACCTCGTCTCAAAATTAACAAAAACTCTCTCCAATCAATTTGTCGTTTTTAAGAACAAGCACAATGGCCCTCGGGGGCTGACTGGATGAGCATTGACAGAAACTAGCTTTTTCTAACACTAATGGCTGACTGTGCATGCTTGCTATGACCTCTGACCCACGAGGTCATAAGCAGGCTACCATAACCTTGACCTTTGGGTGCAGCGAGCAGATCAAATATTTAACTTCAGCATGTTTGTTTTACAAAGCCTTCTTCTCCCCGCGGTGATTCCAGCTGAGCTGCTGCAGAGGTTTTTGTGACGCATTCAAAAGAGGAAATAAACTGAAAGGCAGCCGGGGTGAGACCGTGTCAGGTCGGCCTTTGAGGCTTTCATTTTAGAATAAAGACCCAACTGATCAAGGAGAAGCCGAGCTTGCCTTCCTGGCTTCCTTGTTTGTGATAATAACGAACACTTGTCTTTGCTTTGGAACTTTGTTTTGTTTAGTTTTTTTGTCTTTTTGTTCAAGAAAAATACCGCACACTGCTGTGTGCTCAGAGGGCAGCGATTTATTGGCCAAGACACCAGAGCTGACCTCTGATGTGTTGTGAAGATCTGACCCAAATAACCACTCGGTAAATATTTGGTGTTGCTTAACTAGGGCCGGGTTAAGGTGGCCTACATAATTCAACCAAGATGTTGCATTTAACAGTTTCAGTCAGCTTCAGTAACTCTAACTAGATTAATGGTTCTCGTTTTGACACTGAAGTTTGAACTCATTCATTAAATCAGACCCAGAAGTTCACTTGTAGCAAATCTGTGCAGATGTTGCGTGTTATGTTACCCGAAAAGACTTATACTCTTTACCTTTGTTTGATTTGGCAGGAAAAAGTAAAAAGGCCTGAATGTATGCGAATGTACATGCAGCCAGTAACCCTTGAATGACTGATCACAACAAAGCAGTTACTGCTGGTTTCCTCTGGATTAAATGGAATACAGCATCAACGAGCAATAAAAACATCCCTGCAATTTACTGACACACAATAGGTTGAATCTACTATTTTATTTTAAAGGTGTGGGAAACTCTTTTAATCAGTACATTTGCAGTGGTCTCTGGTAGGAATGAGTGCCTTGCAAGCTGTACTCGGGGCACAAAAAAAGCCCAGAATTGCTTGGATCAGCACGGACATGTCTGCTGCTGCAGAGAGTGGCAGCAAATGGCAAGATTTGGAGTCTTATTTCCTGATATGTGGACATCCTGCCTCGGATTGGATAAAGGCTACCTGAATCTACCCCTGACTTGCGACGTTGAAGTTTTATCTCCACAAATAACAAAAGCTAGGGATGCAACTATACCACTTTTTTCCAAACCGATACAATACTGATACTTGGATCTAATGGGCCATTCCCATCTGTACCGGGTCGGCCCGGGCCGGGTAGCATAGGTTGTTTACATATCTGGGTGGCCTGGTATTTTTCCAGGCCAACCAAGGCTCATTCTCAGCCCTCTTCTCGAGGGGGTCTGCTTCAGGCCGACCAGGGCCAACACACCCACTGCTGACAGCAAATTCACACCTTCCATTAGAGCAAGCCTCTGATTGGTGGGTAGAATCAGCCCACATGGGCTTAAGGCAAGGATGTGTGGAATCAACTGGGCCAGGCTAGGGCCGACTGGGGCTACCCGGCCCGGGCCGACCCGGTACAGATGGGAATGGCCCATTTGTACTCGCCGACACAGATTGCTGATACTGATACTTCTACCACATGTGGCAAGGTGGAGAAACAAGAGCCCAGGTGGGATTCAATCCCCAGACTCCCGGGTGAAAGTCACGCACGCTTGCTAGTCTGCCAAAGGGACACCCCCTTGGCCAAGTAGCCAGGGCGCATGATCAATCGGGACACTGTGACAGGAAGCTAACACTGCACACACACACACACACACACACACACACACACACACACACACACACACACACACACACACACACACACACACACACACAAAAAGCAATGAATTGAAATACAGGTTTTATTTTCATCTCTGCTTTCAACAGGAAAAGACTGTGAGGTAGATAAAATGTAAAATATATTAATAGAAATAATCACCAAACTAAAATATTAGGAAAACACAAACGACAAGTTACATTGAAGCCACTTTCTAGCAACTGCATTGGTATCGGCTCTTGGTATCGGTTAACTTTTACCCTAACATAAGCCCTGAGGAAAATTTCCTGTGTGGTGTAGTTGCTAATGCCAACGATTAGCTTCTACTACTCAATACATTCTCTGTTGTTTCCTGGACGTTAAAACTAACAACAGCCTTCCCGTCACGAGTCAAGATAGGTGAGTCCATTGCTGTTTCTCAATACCCAAAAATGCTACGTTCTTTGTACTTGACAAGTATTTTCTTGGCAAGGACACCAGGAAATCTGTTCTACTGAGTACGTATGGACGAGGACGGCATTTAGAACAGAACCAAACTCCATTACATCATGGCAACAAGCGCTGCTTTTTACTTCAGTTAAAACTACGACCTGACAAAAAATAAGTCTAGTTTGTCCCTTAAATATCGAAATAACAAAGACTATATGGTTTATATAATGTTTGGTTCACTTTTGATCAAAACTGATAAAATACCAACATTTTCTAACAGAGCAATTTAAGGCACCACTGCTTTTATTTTCAAGTGAGTTAGCTAATTAGCATTTTGAGGGATTGTGAAGTCTGAAGAAAAAAAAAAGCAAATACACACAGCAACAGGCTATACGCAATTATTTACAATAACAGGCAACTTTATACTTCTTTATTTGTATTTCTGTTATAAAACACTACAGCTTTGAGTTTTCTCCTCATCCAGTCAAAGCATAAGGGTTTGCAATGCAATGCATTGTGGGATACCGGCCAAGTCCACAGAAGGATGCATCCAATGCATCCTCATTATATAATGGGCGGAGCAAGAACACATCCAGAAAATCTGAGCATACTTGCAAGACAGTGTTCTTAGGATTGGAACACTTGGGCCAACGTTGGTGACGTTTCACAAGAATGTGTATACACAAGTACAGACAAGTACGCATACAGAGAAATGGCCCACAAGTGACAGTGTGACGTAGATCTGTCAGGTTTTTCAAATCCTAGCGGTTGGCCGTCTGTTTTCTATCAGAAGCTAATCCAGGAGATAGGTGTAGGAGACCATTTTCATGTTCAGCCTGCATGAAAACCTCGCAGTGATCGACTGTTATCAGAAGTAATCATTAAAATATGGTTTTACAGAGTTCCACACCTTTAACGTTTTCCCTTAGTGACAAATTCAGTCTGTGTACTTGCAGAAAAAGTTGCAAAAAACTTTGTTTTGACAAACAAAAGCAACTTTTACTTCTGAATATCCTCATCCTGCCATCTCTAAAGCTTCAAATCACAGTCATCCTTCTGCAGTTTTATTTTAAGGCTTTAGACGTTTTCTGTTTAGATCTTTCATTTCAGCTGTTAAAAGTAACACAGTCTCAAAGAAAACACACTTGGAAATGTGTTTGATTCATTTAACAAACCTGACTATTTGTGCAATAACCAATAACCAATGTTTGCAAAAACACATGAACTATTTTTTCATAGTGAATTTGTGAATATGCTTGGGAGCTCTAATTGTGTTATTATTAGATATTATTATTAACTGTGGTGATGGTGTTAGGGATTCATTTTAAAAAAGACCACCCTTTGTTCTATTGCTCTCCTTTCTGTAACGACGTATGTTCTAGTCCTAGCAAGACTTGAGTGTGTAAACAATGATCCATGTAGAAGGAGACAACCCCCCCCCCCCCCCCCCCCCCCCCCCCCACACACACACACACACCACCACCACCACTACCAGCCCCAGGGACAGGTCTGAGGGTCCTTACCAGCCCTTCCTCCCCAGGTCGCAGCGAGGTAACTGCCAGGTCATTGCCGCTCTCATCAAAGGCGTTGATGTCGATCCCCCAGTTGGTGTGCGGCTGTTTGAACCAGTTCTGCAACACGTGCTTAAAGTCAATGCTTTGCCAGTGGCCGACCCTGGAGTTCAGTTCTATCTTCAAGGAGCGGATCCGGATGTGGCGGCTGCCCTGCTCTGTGATGGGCTTCAGCCGCAGAATCTGCAGGTAGACGGTGGAGGTCTGCTGCAGCGGCCGCAGGTACACCCACAGCTGGGCCTTCAGCACCTTGGTGAACATTAGTTTGGGACTGAACTTGAAAAAGCAGCAGCTGGGCTTCCCGTTCACCTGCACCAAGGGCTCCGCTGTGGAATAAAAAACAAAAATGAATGAAAATATCATCAACATACAAGCTAGTGATGGTTTATGCATCTGTTACATCCTGAACACAGTTTCCTGGTTATGTTCTCTAAAACTAGCAGCAGCTAAATGAAAAACCCTTTAAAATCTCTGGGTCTGAAGTCACCAGAAATGAACCCAACACAGGTCAGTCCATGCAAGACCAGAACAACAACAAACCATTTGGATTTGCCACCATGTTTTTGATCATCTGGAGAGAAAACGCATTTGCACAAGACCTGCACAGCTGAGACCAACACAACAGCATCACCATGCAGCCCTCTACAAGATAAACATGCAACATATTCTGCAAGAACACTCAACATCATTCTAGGAAAGCTACTTCTGTAGTCCTCAGTTCTACAACATGTGCGTGTGAGAGAGAGAGAGAGAGAGAGAGAGAGAGAGAGAGAGAGAGAGAGAGAGAGAGAGAGAGAGAGAGAGAGAGAGAGAGAGAAAGAGTATTTGTGTACTTGTTAAACTATCATACTTAGGAGGACCAAAGCTGACATATTCACTAATCTTCTGAAGACCTACTGGTCTTATTGGGACGAAAACCCAGTCCTAATACGGCAGACCCTTAGGCTTAGGGGTGAGCTTTAGAGGTAAGATGTGAAGTGAGTTTTTATTACAGTTAGGCTTAGGAATACACTGGTTATGGCTAGGGTAAGGGTTTGGGTTAGGCATAAATGCAGTTACTAAAATGAATGGAAGTCAATTCAAAGTACTAAAATGGACAGAAAACGAACTTGTGGGTGTGAGAGAGAGAGAATGTGTGTGTGCGTTTTGAATTATGGTACAGAGAGGTGACACCATCACGAATGAACTAAAAAGCAGCAAAGTTTTTAAATATAATTTACAACAATTGTAATTAAGAGCGTGAGGAAATAATCCGTGTTAATCATAAAACACATCTGATCCTGAGCTTTCATTTCTCTAACAAACTGTCCACTCTTTGTCCGTGTCACATGTGCACATGGTCCTCTTGTTTGGCCCATTCAGTTAGGGAACATTTGTGATTATTTTAAGGGTCTAAAACAGATCAATTTGCATATTAAAACAAGAATCCGTAATGGTGGCCAGAGGCCAGATGGTAACCTCAGATTCCCTTGGGTCAGCCGTAATGAAATGGACTACCCTCAGATTAAAACAAGCAAAATTAAAACATCTCATGTTCTTTATTTCTTCCAGCAGCTCCCCCATTTTTGCAAATATATTTGGGATGTGGATTAAGAGTTATGTCAGAGAGCATTAGCTGTCTCTTGAAACGGACAGATTTATTCCTATCATGATCCTGGTATTCCTGTGATTTGCGGTCCATGTCAGATCTGCATTTAGTTCATTTACATAGACTTCCATCTGATCTAATGACATCCATCCGTTGAATTCATACATTCATTTCCATGTAAAGTGTTCTTTTATTAAGGGAAATTTATTCGGTATCTAACAGGCATGACAATGTGCCAACAGACCACAATAGAAAATGTATTCTGCCCGTTTTCTTTGAGTAAATTTGTCATTTTAGCCCCAAAATGGAGAAAACATGAGTTAGTTAGTTGTACTTTGTGAAACAGTCGTTGATGCAAATCGGTTGTTTTAAGAAAAGTAAAGAGAAAACAGTGCGGAGCTGTCAATCACCGCTAAATCTGAGGTTGCTAAGGCAACCTGCAAATGCTTCCTGGGTCAAAAGGTTATTTGGCACCTCAGTCTAGTTAAGAAATGGGATCAGGGGTCAAAACCGTCAGCCTCTTTACATCTCAGGGGTGCTGGGGGAGGGTGAAGGAGGTGGATATGGGGGGGGGGGGGGGTGCAGGCCTAACAGCCAGATTGAGTTTGAAGGTCAAGGTCAACCCTATGGCAATGGTAATATGTCTTTCTTCACATCTCGCCTTTTCAGCACAGAACCACTCCAAAGCTCAGCCACACAGCAGCGCCGAACCAGCCGTTTGTTTTTGTTTTGATCAGAGTGGAGATCCTCCAGCCAATGGTGGATTGTTTATCCCACTCTTTTGACCAGGAGAGAACACTGTGCCAAGGTGTGTGTGTGTGTGTGTGTGTGTGTGCGCGCGCGTGCGTGTGTGTGTGTTTATTATTTTTGTTATCTTAGTGATGTAATTGAATCATGAGCATGCATTCAGGGACATGAATTCACTGACTAAGAGCCAAGACGGGGACAGACGGGATCCTTCAGCCTGTTTCCAAGCACAGTCATTAGCGAGTGTAAATTATACACAGTCTCACGCTCAATAAACAATATGTCAATGTTCTCTTCTTTTACTGGGTTGCTGAGCTCACGGCAATTAACGTGGGCGTTGTTGTGTTTGCTCATCAGCACAAGAGCCAAGGCTGTGGTTCGTTTAGGGATTGCTTCTGGTTACGACTTTTGGAGAAAAAGCAGATTTTTGTTGCTTTGGTTGGATTTCTAAGAAAAGAAAAGAGAAACGGAAAACACCACAAAGATGAAATGAGGGGAGAAGCAGTAACCTGAGAAGCAGGAGCATGTTTGGCGTAATCCAATTCAGGACCCAAGTTATTAAACACACCTGCACAACACATGAGCCATGTCATGTGAAACAATGACTGCATTGATACGGGAAATCAATTTGTGCCTTTATAGATCTTGTAAATGCACAAGCTGCAGGCGGGGATGAATGCCTGTGGCTTAATTACACCCCGCGTCTTGGCAGAGCATTCCATTTGGGCAAAATGAGCAAATTTAGCTTGTAAAGACCAGGGAACCAAAGGGACACTTAATGCTTCCACCTGAACGAACTTTTTTCTCGCCACCAGAGCACATTACTCGGTGGAGGCCAGTACTTTTACTGCAGCACTTTAATGGCATAATTTCCTGCATAATTTGCTTAGCTTACAGCATGGAACTTTAATAACCTAATTCCTGCAGGACAAATAGAAAACTCAGATTTTGTGTTCAGCACCACCTGCTGGATCAACACAACCGAACCAAAGAGACCCAAACAACATCAACTCATGAAATCGTTCTCATGAACTAAACAGTGGGTGCATTTTTCCCTCCAAAAGAAACAGGTTTGTTTTAATATTCCCATTCTCGTGTCCGGCCTGCTTCATTATAACAGCAGCTTGTTTCCCTGTGGTATAATTACAGCATACGCGGCACATGAATTTTACTGCCAACATGCAGCAGGCCTGCAGGTGGGCCTATCAAACATCTGGTGGGCTCCCTGGGTACCTGGTGTTCCATAGTTAGCCTCCTATACATGCATGCAAGGGGAGGCATATAGGATATAGGGGTTTATTCACCGTGCCATCTGTTCGTTTTCATCCAATAGTAGCCCCATTTAAATGGTTTTAGCTGTAATGTCACTGAGGCGTAGTCGAGAACTGAGCCAGTGAAACTGTTGAAAACAGATGGAGGGGGGAAGTTAAGGAGCACAATGAATAAGTGAAATGTCGCCTAAAACCTGCAATGAAAATGGTCTTTTTATTAATGGATGATAAAGTATTTTTGTCTCCAAGCTGAAAAGAAACATTTTATTAACAGGAATAAGACAATGTTTGCAGCATCTATCCAACAAAATGATAAACACATCTACGAATAAATGACTTTACAATAGGGGTCCCTTTACTGACGCTACTTAGTGCATTATTGAGCATTAATAAACAAGGGGTTGCTTTATTAATGTTCCCAGTGTTGTTAACTATTAAGCTTCCTCTGCCTAGTAATTCTTTACTTAATAACAGTTTTAATACTCTTTTAAGCAGTTCATTGATGCTTAATAATGCACTAAGTAATGTTAATAAATTGACCCGTATTGTAAAGTGTTACCTATTTTTTGTCTTTTCTTTTTTTTTATTTCTTTTCTTTCCTTTTCTTTTCTTTTCTTTTCTTTTTCTTTTCTTTTCTTTTCTTTTCTTTTCTTTTCTTTTCTTTCTTTTTCTTTTCTTTTCTTTTCTTTTCTTTTCTTGCCATGTGTGTTGAACACAGTCCAAAAAAGTCAAACTAAATCAAAACACAAGGAAGCAAACTTGAATTGAAAATCTGCTAATGATCGGGTGGCTTGATTGGCTCCATACGCCCATCAGTATTCCAGCCTTAAAAACAGCCTTTCTGTGATCTTTCAGGAGGTCATCCGAGAGTAACACACGTGACACGGTTTACCTGATCTAAATATGCTGCACAGAGACGTGGCTGCATGTGCCAGCCAGGTGAAAACGGACAGCTCGTATGGGTTGAGGAGGGCAGCTCCATTGTTAATATCCAAATGGATAAAGCATAATGACACAAATCTGGAAAGGACTTTCATTTGCATATTTATTTATAATTTCTTCTCTTAATGGGAAATGCAAATGTGCCATTTTGTTTTGTGTGTGTGTGTGTGTGTGTGTGTGTGTGTGTGTGTGTGTGTGTGTGTGTGTGTGTGTGTGTGTGTGTGTGTGTGTGTGTGTGTGTGTGTGTGTGTGTGTGTGTGTGTGTGTGTGTCCAGGAGCCTTTGCATTGAATAAATGTGACTCTAGGGTATCCCCACGCACCTCGGCATATTAATCATCGTGACACGTTCACGACCCTTCTAATAAGACAGGGGCTATGGTGCACCCCCTCAAACATCCCATCCAACCCCGGCCCCACTCCCTCTTTGTCTCTCAGCCCATCCCAAGGGAGCAGAGAGGATGGTGGGGGAGGCCAAGCTCGAGCTGTGGATGGAGAGGGGTGTGTGTGTTCATGTGTGTGTGTGTGTGTGTGTGTGTGTGTGTGTGTGTGTGTGTGTGTGTGTGTGTGTGTGTGTGTGTGTGTGTGTATGTGTGTGTGTGTGTGTGTGTGTGTGTGTGTGCAAGCGTGTGTGTGAAGTCAGACCCCCTCATTCAGAGGCCTCCCCTGGGACAACGGCAGGCACAAGACTCCTATTAGGACTGAGCACGGTAGCCCCACAGGAGCAACAAAAGACACCTCCTAATGCTCCCTGTTCTAGCTCAGTGAACACACACACAT